TCTCTCTCTCTCTCTCTCTCTCTCTCTCTCTCTCTCTCTCTCTCTCTCTTTCTCTGTAAAATAAAGAAACTAAACAAAATGCCAGTAGTAGAAAAAGAAGATAGCAAACAAATGAGATAAAAAGCACCTGCTCCCCACCCCATTCATTTTATATTGGCCAGCTACTCCTGGGCATGGGTCCTGCCCTGGACTATGATTGATTTATCCATTGTCACTCCATTGGACAAAACAGATTTTTCCTTTCCCAGCAGGCATCAATTGCAAATAGCTTCTTGGCTAGGCGTAGGACTTTTGTCTACTTACCCTTTTCAGTGCTGGGATCTTGTGTGGTTTGAACTTAAGCTGGCCCTGTGCATGCTGCCATAGTTTATATGAATTCTTATGTACCTCAGTCCTGTTCATGTCGGGAAGACTCTGTTTCCTTGGACTCATCCATCACCTATGGCTCTTACAATCTTTCTGCGACTTCTTCTACATATATTCCATGATCCTATATGACCCTTGGTTTAGTGAAAGCCTTCCACTTAAGACTAACTTCTCTAAAGTCTCTCCCTCTCTGCACATTGTCCAGTTGTGGCTCTCTTAATTAATTATTAATTGCCATCTACTGCATGAAGAAGTTTCCCTGATGAGAGCTGCTGTGGGTATGGTGATACACCATTAGGAGTCATGATAGTTTACTGGAATAATAGCAGTAGGTTTCCCCGAGCTCATGTTCTCGCCACTTCAGCAGTGTCAGGCATGGGTCCTACTCTTGAAGTGGGTCTTCAATCCATTTTTAAAGTGGCTGGTGACTCCCGTGACATGTGTGCTGTTGTTGCACCAGCGTATTGGGCAGCCAGGTAGCTGTTGAAGGTCTCAGCATTTGTAGCTCCGTGATACTGATGGTTACTTCCTCCTTTGGAAGCTGTACTGTGCAGAGTACTTTCTAGCATGATGAAGGCTAGTTCCTAGGGGTGGAGCTTCTAGTTGGGCATCAACTCAACTTCTCTGTGTTCCATGGCATAAATTAGTGTTTTCTTCAGTAATAGGGCATTTTCTGAATCTAATGAGAAGGTCATGTGGGTCTTTGTCTTTCAATATGTTTATGTAGTAGATATGGAACCATCCCTGCATCTCTGGGATGAAGCCAGTTTGATCATGGTGGATAATCTTTTTGATGTGTTCTTGAATACAGTTTGCAAGTATTTTTGTGAGAATGTTTGCATCTATGTTCATAAGGGATAGTGTTCTATAAGTATCTCTTTTTTCTAGGGTCTTTGTGTGTTTTTGGTATCAAATTAAGAGTAGCTTCATAAAAAGTATTATTATATGTTCCTTCAGTTTCTGTTTATTAGAATAACTTGAGGCATATTGACTTTAGTGCTTTGAAGGTCTGGTAGAATTCTGTGCTCAATCCATCTTGCCTTGAGCTCTTATTTGTTGGGAAAATTTTAACTACTGCTTCTATTTTACCAGGGGTTTGGGGTCTATTTAGATTATTTAATCTTGATCTAATTTTGATAGCTTGTACATATCAAGAAATTCATCCATTTATTTTAAGCTTTTCAGTTGGATGAAATACAAATTTTTTAAGTATATTCTTAGGATTTTCAGAATTATCCTCAATATCTGTTGTAATGTCTCCCTTTTCATCTCTAATTTTATTAGTTTGCATCTTTATATTTGCATTAATTTAGATAATGGTTTGTCAAAATTGTTGATTTTTCTCAGAACTACTCTTTGTTTCATTGATTTTTTTTTATTCTTTTGTTATTGTTTGTTTGTTTCTATTTCATTGATTTCTTCCCTGAGTTTGGTAATTTCTTCCCATTTACTCTTTTGGGTTATTATTTCTTGTTTGTTTGTTTTTTTTTAAGAGCTTTCAGGTGTTTCATTAAGTTACTAATAAGAGATTTCTCCATTTTTACCTCTTAGAACTGTCATTTTTATCCCATAGCTTGGAAATGTTGTGTTTTAATTTTCACTAAATTCTGAAAGTTTTCAATTTCTTTCTTTCTTTTTTTTTTCTTTTTTTTTTTTTTTTTTTTTTTGGTTTTTTTCGAGACAGGGTTTCCCTGTGTAGCTTTGCGCCTTTCCTGGAACTCACTTTGTAGACCAGGCTGGCCTCGAACTCACAGAGATCCGCCTGCCTCTGCCTCCCAAGTGCTGGGATTAAAGGCATGTGCCACCACTGCCTGGCTCAATTCTTCTTAATGTCTGTCTTGACCCATTTTTCATTCAGCAGTAAGTGGTTCAGTCTCCTTGGGTTTCTGTTCTCTCTGTGGTTGATGTCCATTTTTAATTATGGTGCTCAGATAGGATGCAAGGCCTCTCTCCAGGAAGCTGCACCAATAGTGTTGGTGGTTCTTTGTGCACAGTATACTGGTCTTACTTTTAAAAAAAATCCCAGCATCCTACTGTTTCTCTGGTTTAGAAATCTACTTTCTATACTTTTTTCTATATGTAAATAAATGGTTAATTTTTAGAAACCTGATCTATATAAGTTATTTTGTTCACTATTTTTAAAGGGGCATTAGTATATTATAGAATTCATAAATATTTTTATAACTCAGTGTAACTAATACAATATGAAACATTTGCTTTCAATACCCATCTCTATAAACTAGCTTAAGCAACATGAAAAAGTAAAGTAAGTTTTCACAATGTTTCACAATCTTATTTTAGTTATAAATCTTCAAATCTACATGAGTCATACATAATAGCTTTACTCATATGAACTGAATGATAAGCACAGGAAGCATAACAGAACCTTTTACCATCTCCCTATGGGTCAGTGAGAACAGAGAGCTAGTGACCATGGATCTGCCACAGCATGGTGAGTCAGCATTCCAGGAGACAGACCCTTCAAGTGTCCAATGTCCCCTGATTCTTACCCCGTAAGCAGGAAAAATCTATGGTTCCAGCGATTCCAGTCGTGAGAGTGGGCCTCATCTGTATGTAGTGGAAAATGAGAGTAGACTTACATGTACAGACAAGTTGTCAACAATTCAATATTTCAATATTGAAATTAAGACATAGAAATGTACTTAAATAACCTAACCCACTTAAACAAATGTACTCATTTCTACTTTAAACTTAAATTCCCTTTGAATGCAAATGTAAAATTACTTTTATATTCATTTTTCAATAAAACTTTAAGTATCTTTTGGTGGAGTAGATTTTCTCTACCATTATTGTTAATTTAAATGTATTGTAATCTTGAATTGTCTGACTTGAGAGTAAATAATTTTAAGTTTAGGAGATAGTTGTGAGTAGTGTCCTATATAATATGTACAGATAGTTAACCCAGTGTATGCTCAGTGTTTTTCTTTGTTGGCTTCTAAAGAAACCTCAACAGGAACATTTTACTTTTACATGTTCTTAATTTGTACTTGCTGAGTGTAAGAAGCCTCTTTTCAGATTTTATCTTTGTTTCAGTTTAATTTTCATAACATATTATATGAGATTAAAATATCAAATAGTAGACTGTTTTTTAAAAAACTACTTGTTTGTGCTTAGTAGTTTAGAATGTGTAGTGCTCTTGCAGAGGACCCAGGTTCAATTCCCAGCACCCATGTCAGGCAGCTCATAAGTGCCCACAACTCCGGCCCAGGGGACCTGAAGCTTGTGACCTCCGTGAGCACTGCACTCACATGCACACACATGCACACATACTCACACACACACACTTGTTAAGAAATTCAAACCTCAAAATAAGTGCTTGTTTCTATGCAATTCTAAGCTTATTCCTAGACTTCTTAAAGATGACTTTGTTCATTGAAATAATAATAATTTGATCACTTTGGAAATACATCCATCAGTTTTCACACACTTGTCAGGATTAAGCATTCATGTGCATGATCTCTTTCAGGAGAAAGAGCGATTGAAACAGGAGAAACGCGATGAGAAAAGACTGAATAAGGAGCGAAAGCTCGAACAGCGGAGGTTGGAATTAGAAATGGCAAAGGAACTAAAGAAGCCGAAGGAAGACATGTGCTTAGCAGACCAAAAGGTGATTATGGCGCATGAGCCGTTCCTTTTCTAGAACCTCCACAGGTGTCCAAGCCTCGGTTAGTTTAGCCTGCACTGTCTGCGGTCCCCGTGGTCATTGCATCACTGCGGACCTTTCAGTTTTCGTAGATACGCCGCAGACGTCTTCAGGGAAGGATCAGAGAAGCAGCTGTGTCTCTGGCACTCTCTTGTACTTGAGGCAAGAAAGGCTTGCCATCTCTTCACACCTGATAGATATTTAAGTAAATGAGGTTTATCTGTGAACAGTTCCTCCAGTGCGTTAGCCAGCCTTTACTGACTGTGTCCACTGTGTGCCTGGCCTGCGCTGAGTGCCTATATGAATTCCTTGAGTTACATGTTTTGATCTAGTCCTCAGTGAAGTCCCATGGTGCTAGTATTTATGTGTCTCCATTTATTGATGTAAAATCTGAGACAGAAGGAGAAACGTGTTCCTGATCACAACAGCTGACGAACACCCGTGTATTGGAGCTGACTTGTCTGATGTTAGAGGCCATGCTCCTCATCGTCTTGAAGTCCAAGAAATTGTGTCCAGCCACGGAGCTTCCTTCGGGTGTTCTCCTCAGTCTCACAGGCAGATGCGGTGTTACCATAGTACACGAGAGTAGCTATTTAGAAAGATTAGAATAACCTTGGCAACAACGTGCTGTGCTATATTTTGGAGTAGAAATAAGCTTAATTTTGAATAGAGCTAAGAATATGGTGCTGGTAGAAAATGATACTAACAATGCATACGGTTTCTCTAACTACCCTGTCATCTACGACCATGCTGGCCTATCACAGCTGTGTATGCTGCTGCCATATCCATCTGCTCTGTGTCATCGCCCTGGTTTGTACAATCCCCTCCAGTAGTGTGCTTAACACACACATTTAGTGCCTCAGTAGGGGGTGCATTATATTACCATTCAGTTTGTTTCACTTAGCATAACTGCTTTAAGATAAAAATTAATGTATACCTATCGGTTTTATTTGGTTGGACGTTTACATTTTCCTAAGCAGAATGGGGTTTTTCCTATAAGTTAGCGAAAACAGTTAATTAACTTATAGTGAGAAGACTTTTAAATTCTAAGTGGACTTTATCTTGCATCTTTTTTTTTTTTTCTTCCAGACAGGATTTCTCTGTGTAACAGCCTTGGCTGCCTTGGAACTCACTCTGTAGACTAGGCTGGCCTCGAACTCACAGAGATCCGCCTGCCTCTGCCTTCTGAGTGCTGGGATTAAAGGCGTTCACCACTACTGCCTGACTATCTTGCATCTTTTATTTTTATTTAAATCATGTGAATTGTCAAATGTGTATTTATTTTAAGCCACACTTTTTTTTTTAGCTCTGTTTTATACATTTTTAAAGTTATACAGAATTGTGTGTATCTGATATGGTTCAGGAGAAAGGAAGCCTCAAAATTAACTGGCTTTCAAATAGAGCATTAGCTATTATTCATAGTTCAATGTTGTCAAGCAATATTAAAAAGAAATTCTTCAGTGAGTTACCTAAGTCCAGAGCAAAGGCCTTATTCAGGTAATATTTATAAATCACTTTTCCTTATAAAATTTAAATTACTATTTAAAGAAATCAAACATGGGCAAAATGCTCCTAACTTAAATTACCTATTGACTGAATTTTTAATGTCTATGATAAACTTAATGTAGCTTAATTATTATTAAAGTCTTACCACGTGTGCATATTTGAGAAGTGGCAACGGATTTCGCTCTAATTTTAGTTCTAAGACTCATTGATGCTTCACTAACACAGGGGAACCTACAGCCCTAGAGGTGCATTGCAGCCAGCGTCCTGAGTTCTGGTAATGTGGACCAGTGACTTACTGCAGCCGTTAGCTGTAGATGGTACACCCCTGCCAACCAGAATGCCCAGGGCACATACTCATAGCACAGTTCTGAGCAGCCATTAAACAGTGTGCGTTTCAGCCATCTCAATTGTTAGAAAAACTCAGTGCACATCTTATTAATTATGTAATATTTTGGAAATGCTTATTTATTTTGATTTGCTTGGTTTTGGTTGCTTGATTGGTTGGTCGGTTTGGGGTTTTGTTTGTTTGTTTGTTTGTTTTGTTTTTGTTTTTTGAGACAGGATATCATGTAGCTCAGGCCGGTGTTGTACTTACTTTGTATCAAGGCTGGCCTTGAAGTCTTCAATACTTCACCTATTGGGTACTGGGATTTTAGGCATGGACCACCAAATGTAGCTGAAATGAGTACTCAGGTTATTTAATTTTTGTCCCAGATTATATAACTTTTTTTTTTCAATATACAAGAAAAATTTAAATTCAGGTTTTTGCTGTCAGGAATTTAAATTCATATTGAGCTGAACCCAGATTTACAGGTGATTACTTTCTGATACTTAGTACCACAGGAGCTGCAGAAACGTTCATGGGAAACCTATCCTCCAATACAAGAAAAAGAAAAATAGCAGCTTCAGTTACTTTAGGTGATAGAAAAATCATGGTTCTGAGACTGGAGAGATGTCTCAGTCCGTGAAGTGCTGGCCACACAGCATCAGAACCTGTGTTGGTGTTCCCAGCACCCACATCAAAAGCTAGGCACAGGCGTGGCCACGTGTGTCTGAAACCCAGAACAGAGGGGGAAGAAATTCTCTGGCTAACCAGTCTAGGCAGATTGATGAGCCCTGAGGGATCTGGTGAGAGGCTCTGTTTTAAAAAAATAAAGTGAGCCGGGCGGTGGTGGCGCACGCCTTTAATCCCAGCACTCGGGAGGCAGAGGCAGGCGAATCTCTGTGAGTTCGAGGCCAGCCTGGGCTACCAAGTGAGTTCCAGGAAAGGCGCAAAGCTACGCAGAGAAACCCTGTCTTGAAAAACCAAAAAAAAAAAAAAATAAAAAAAAAAATAAAAAAATAAAAATAAAAAAATAAAAAAATAAAGTGCCTAACTAAATGGGGTTGGGGGGATGCCTGGTAGCATTGCTGGAACAGTAAAGTGTTCGCTATCCAGCCTGACAACCTGAATTTGATGTTCCAGAGCCCATATGATAGAGGGAGATCACCTGCTCTCCAGAGCCCATATGATAGAGGGAGATCACCTGCTCTCCAGAGCCCATATGATAGAGGGAGAGCACCTGCTCTCCAGAGCCCATATGATAGAGGGAGATCACCTGCTCCTGCAGGTTGTTCCGTGACTTCCACAGGCACACTGTTGCAGCACATACCCGAATGCATACAACACTAACACAGATAAATCAACAAATAAATGTTTAATAGGCAATTGAAGAAGGCACTCAGTGTCGACATGTGTACATACATCTAAATACATACATAACCCTGCATACACGAATACCATTCCAATTTAACTTTTAAAGCTGTTTTAATTTTCCTTGTGTTTTGTTTGCAGCCCTTGCCAGAGTGGCCTCGAATCCCAGGACTTGTCCTCTCTGGAACCACATTTTCAGACTGTCTCATGGTGGTGCAGTTCTTACGAAACTTTGGTAAAGTTTTGGGCTTTGATGTGAATATTGATGTTCCAAACCTCAGTGTTCTTCAAGAGGGATTGCTAAATGTAGGGGACAGCATGGGTGAAGTACAAGACTTGCTTGTGAGACTCCTCTCAGCTGCTGTGTGTGATCCAGGTCTAATTACAGGATACAAGGTAAAAAAAACCAAAATCTAACCCATTGCTTTTAAGTTTGTCCTCTCCGTGCATTGCTGGTTAACTTTTCCATGCTAGCAGAAGATTGTGTAGATTTCTCTTAAATGCATTGCTCACATGTGTCTCTTGGAGTTAAATGTAAATTTATACTAGGTTACAATTGGGGCAGATGCAGAAGAATCTTGCTAGACTGAGGAATATGGGCCGGTCTCTTGGTTACTCATTGTTGCTCTAGCTGTAAGCACAGTCCAAGTCTATTTAAGGAAATATGCCAGTGGTATCTATCAAAAACAGAATTCAGTCGGGCGGTGGTGGTGCACGCCTTTAATCCCAGCACTCGGGAGGCAGAGCCAGGGGGATCTCTGTGAGTTTGAGGCCAGCCTGGTCTACAGAGCGAGTTCCAGGAAAGGCACCAAAGCTACACAGAGAAACCCTGTCTTGAGGGTGGGGGGCGACAACGACACAGAATTCATAATTTCTCAATGATTTAGAACTTGCGTGTTTATTCAGAAGCTCTCCTTTGTCAATTGTGAACAACAGGCTAATGAATCAGGTGTAGGTCAGTGTTGACTCTGTATTGGTCAGTGGGTACTCCATTGATTTACATTTGCCTTTCTTCTTACTCAGGTACACTTTCAAGGTATCTTTTCTCTAGATAATACTGTAGAAAGATAAGCTTCCAGATGCAATGATTTTTTTCTCTGTGTGCCTACTCACTAACCTGACCTATAAAACATGCTATAAATAAAGATAGAAAATAGTCATAGTGCTTTTGATCATCCTTCTTCTGCATTAGATTCAAAATGTCTTTACAAATAAAGAATACTTGATTGACTACTTAACTCTGCCTTCTGCCAATAGTCAGACCCTTCTCCCTACTTCAGTTCAGTAAGGGTTTAACAAGGCGGTTTAACAAGGTTTAACAGAACAGGGCGGATACTCAAGTATCTGTCTATCATGCTGTTTTGTTTATCTCCATTTCAGTTCTGTGAAAAATAAAGTCCTTATTAGTAATATCTAGAGCATATAAGCCAATATTTTATCCTTATTTTTGAATGCATGAATATGATAAGCACTGATAAAAATGCCAACTTTATAGGCCAAAACTGCTCTTGGAGAACATTTGCTGAATGTTGGTGTGAATCGAGACAATGTGTCCGAGGTTTTACAGATTTTCATGGAAGCCCACTGTGGACAGACAGAGCTGACTGAGAGCCTGAAGACTAAAGCTTTTCAGGCTCACACTCCGGCACAGAAAGCCTCAGTGCTCGCCTTCCTCATTAATGAGCTGGCCTGTAGCAAGAGTGTGGTGAGGTGAGTCCCTTCTTCCTGTCTGAGTGTGTCTAATCAGAGCGATGCGGATGGCCTAGCGAACAGTTTGGAAGTTACAGACCAGCACCAAGAAGAGCATCAAAGTTGTAAACCAGTTTAGAGACGGCCACCAATGCGATTTCAGTTGGGTTTCTATGTGTTCTATTGGAAATAACAACTTTTCTGTATGTATGTCATCTATAGTCTTTGTTACCTGTGTTATTTAATTATTTTACTAATTCTTCATGCAGTGGAGGTCTTTATTGTTTGCTGCAGTGCTAGAATTCAGAAACATCATAGTAATCCAGAATTTCTCTTTCCTGGACATCTTTGAGGACCTGATTTCCCCTAGAAATTCATAAAATGATCCAGCCATTTATTTCATTGTATGCTAATATAGCCTTAGATTACTAGTTTGTCAGTGAAGTAGTTTATACTTTTTTTCCCAAAAGTACTTAATCTTGTTTAAGATTCCAATTCCATCTGGCACTCTAGTACTTCCTATGAACAAAAGAGTTAGCTAGTATTCTAGCATTTCAGGTTCACCGTTCATCCTTTGCTTGTTCTTAATTTGTTCAAACATTTACTTGTGATACTTTCAGTCTTTTACGTTTTTTAGGAAAAAGGATTTATGAATTTATTTCTACCATTGATGGGCAAATTAAATCTGTACCTATCTTAGCTATGATATCTTAATACGATTGTTATTATTTATTTTTTGTATTCTTTTCGAATATCTCCAAAAATGTAATAATACTTAAGTTTTGAATGAAGGAATTATTTCATTATGCGTAAGCCAGATGACAAATAGTTATGCTGAGTGGCTCTTTAAAATATATGTATACACATGTAAACTCAATATACAGAGAACACTAATGTTTTCTGTTTTGGAAGAATAAAGGAACTACTATTCTATTACCTCCAGCAAACACCACAACATGTTTAGTTTCCATGTTGACATGTATACATGCACAGAGATGTTATCTGCACATAAGTATGTACACATACTTAGTAAATATCCATCTACATCCTAATTTCCCAGTTGAATTTGGAAATGATCACTCCCTAAATATATGACAACCACATCAGAATGCTATTTTTATAACCATATTGTGAGAGTATATTATAGCTCTCTTGATTAAAGTAGGAACAAAGTAACTTTCTTAATAGTATCCAGTGAAGAAATTAAATGTAAATGTCCATGTCTAAAGCCATGTAGTTCTGAAATGAGGTTGTTTGTATCATTTTACCTACTAAAATATATGATGTTACATACTACATGGATGCGTTGCAGAAATGGATTCTATCTTTTAATTCATTTTTGTATTGGCAGTGAGATTGACAAGAACATTGAGTATATGTCAAACTTGAGGAGAGATAAATGGGTAGTGGAAGGTAAACTCCGCAAGTAAGTCCAATTTTATTAATCTAATGTGTTGTCTTCCTTTTGTTCACGTCTCCAGTAAGGCATGTGAGCTGTAAAGACAAAGTTTAAACTTTACTCTTTCTACAGGAAAGATACTGCTTAATCTGCAGTCTGAAATGAATGATGAAATCTAAAACTAATAAAGCTTTAGGTCAGAGTCTATAGCAGACAAGAAAAGTAGAATTATATTCATCGAACTCATGTTTCAAATTTAAAAGAGACATTTCCCCTTTCTTCTTTTGATGAAGTCAAGCAACCATGTTTTCTGCTATTGTTGTTGCTACCTGATTGCTTTTGTCCTACCTAATATCTGTCTCAGACTATCCTTTCTCTTAATGACTGTTTAAAATTAAAATCTGCTTCACAAAATGCAATGAAAATTATTCAACCATAGAATTTAATTGTCTTCCTTCTGGGAAATAAGTAACTGTATAGTTAGTTGTTCATCTGCTATGCTAAAAGGGTAGATGGTTCTCCAAGCATATGACCCATACCTGTAGTCTCAGCATTTGAGAAGCTGAGGCAGAAAGATCTAGAGTTGAAGACCAGAGTTACATAGTGATAGCCTTTTCCTAATTTAAATAAAGAAATAAACAAAAAGAACAGTTTCTGGGCTGGAGAGAGGGCTCAGTGCTTATTGCACCTGCAGAGGACCTGGGTTCAATTCCCAAGTACCTACATGATGGTTCACAACCATTGTAAATTCAGTTTCAGGAGACCTGGTGCCCTCTTCTGACCTCTGTGGGCACCAGGCACTCACATGGTGCACATACATACATGTTAAACACATAGAATATAAAATGAATAAATTTAATTAAAAATGTTAAACAGCTGGGCGGTAGTGGCACATGCCTTTAATCACAGCACTCAGGAGGCAGAGCCAGGTGGATCTCCGTGAGTTCAAGGCCAGCCTGGTCTACAGAGTGAGATCCAGGACAGGCACCAAAACTACACAGAGAAACCCTGTCTTGAAAAACAAAACATAACAAAAATGTTTAACAGTTAGTTTCTTTGCAGTAATTTGAATTGAAATTTAGTCAGGTACACAGTATAGAAATCAGGAAATATCATTTGATCATTGTTGGAATTATTCATCTCAGCTTTTATGTTTTTTTTTGTCTAATATGTTCAAATTACCAAAAGATCATTCATAGAACTTTATCCTGTAACTGTAGAAACATATGTTAAATTTCCCTAATTGAATTTTTTACTGCTGTTGATATATTGTTTACTACATGAGTGTAAGATATTCTTGCTGAAGACTCACATTATGATCTGGATATGGTGGTGCACACCTGTAATCCCAGCATGTAGGAGGCAAAGGCAGGTGGATCACAAGTTTTTAAGCCAGCCTGAGCTACAAAAGAAGACTCAGCTTCAGATGCCAAGTACTGGGTGGGAGAATGTAGCTTAGTGGTAGATAATTACCTAGGGAACACTGTGTTGAATCCTCTGCACTGCTAGAAAGCGGGGAAAAGAAAGCCTAGCATTGTGCTAATACAAATTACAATTTTAACAGTGACAGGAGTAGCTTTTTATTCTGTGTCTTTCTTTTAATGTCTAAAGGCTTAGGATAATTCATGCTAAGAAAACAGGCAAGAGAGACACTTCAGGAGGCATTGATCTTGGAGAAGAGCAGCATCCCTTGGGCACACCCACTCCAGGACGCAAGCGGAGAAGGAAGGGAGGAGACAGTGATTATGATGATGATGATGATGATGACAGTGAGGACCAAGCTGATGAGGATGATGAAGATGAAGAAGATAAAGATGACAAAAAAGGGAAGAAGACTGATACCTGCGAAGATGAGGTAACCAAGTTCAGGTTCATGTGTAAGATCGGACAAGAGCTGTGCAACCTGCCAAAAGTCAACCCGGCATTAAAGTCGTGGGGCTATGATTTCAGTTCAGTTTGTGGCGTTGGCTTGCTCCAGTCTTTTCGTCTGAACATTCCTTCCTCCTTCCCCTTCCTTTCTTCCTCCTCCCTGCCCCTGCCCCTGCCCCTGCCAGGCTTACCTGTGCTATGCTCCCAGCCTGAAGGTAACGTTGTGTTTGTCTCTTATCGTGTTGTGTGATAATTAGGAAACACACAGTGGCGTGGCTGAGCACGGAAAGAAACTTGGACTGAAGTAAAGCAGTTAGATTGGCTTTGTGTGTGCAGACGTTGTTCTCAACAGGGGTATGAGCGTGGTCACCTGCTGACCCTGCTGCCCTCTTGTTTCGTCAGTGTCCTCTGTGAGGTCAAGTAATGAAATCACTGACAGTATATTACTCTGGATGGCCCTGTTGTTAATTGGCACATGACGGTCATTATCCTTGGTGTTCTCTCCAGAGCTCTGCAGACTGATTCTCAGACACTCTCTCTGGCCCCGGATATATTCTGTTTCACTTGCTCACCACTCGTGCCTCAAAGGTTTTGTCAGGTTTAGTGAAAATGCTGTATTTCTCGAACACTCGCTTTCGGCAGCTTTAAGATTGATGCAGCACTGAGAGTCCTCACCTAAGTGAGGAAGTTTGGTTGCTTTTTTCTTTTTCAAATGTTAATTGACATGATAGGGAGGATATTTGCAGTGTACATCATATGCTCATAAAGGACATTTAGACGTTTGGAGGAACAAACTCTCACAAGAGCTTTCTGCACCCACTAGCTAAGAACGACTTGTTGGGCAGATGTTAGCATGGGGAAAATCGAGAAAACAGTGTCTGTGGCAGCTACTATGATGCTGAGTTTCTTACGTGTTTGGACATCACTTCTTTATGAAATGCACAGGGCTGTCTCTCCAATCCATCCTTTCTTTGCTCTGCAGGGATTTTTATCCATATGGTCCCACTGTTGAACTTTGTTTTGTGTCGCAGTCCTGGAAAGGAAATGACACTGAGATTTGTTACAGAAAGAAATTGTTCCATAATGCTGTACTTCCTCCAAGCTTTTATGTTACCTCTACTGGCTTCGAACTTGGGTTCAAGAGGCCCTCTTGCCTGAGATGGAATTCTGACTAGCGTGGGATGGCTTGTGCATGGCCCTGTCCTGATACAATGTACTTTTTAAAAGAAAGCCCTGGGTCATAAACATTCATCTTGTCACAGGTCATGGAAGAAGTATATAATTTGAGAATCAGAGACCCAGTCATCAGTAATGTGTTTCATTTGGAAAGTAGAGCTGTTTCCATAACAAGAGTTAAACTTTTCTAACTAAAATCAGTCACCTTTCCACAGAATTGGTGTCTTGTTTAAGTATTTAATATTATCAATCAGCTTAATTGTTGACACAAATTTATAGCTCCACTTTGGGATTTCAGTGTATTCTGCCGAGTGATGTCCCACTAGATAGGACTGACTTAGAGAAATGATTTGACTCACCTTGCTTTCGGTAGGGGAAGGGAAGACAGACTGCTCATGTAGGCCAGGCGAACCTTGACTGCCCTTGAGTTCATGACCCTTCTGGTCTCCGCTTTTAAGTGTGCAAAGTTTGAAAGATTAGAAAAAAATTAAATCTTCAGAAGATTGAAGGTTATAGCTGTGTACCACCCTAACCAGTCTCTGACTTCCCTTTTAATCGTAATTAAGAGCTATAGATTTTATTCTTTATACACAGACACTTGAAAATTAGCATTAACGTGTTTTAGAGGGCATGTCATTTAACATGGCCACAGTATGAGCAGTCATAGTAAGGTTATTTGTCTTATTATTAACATGAGAAAATGATATAAAACCTTAAAAAATAGTAAATACTTGGGGTCCTAAAACCTAATTATGTTTCCTTTTGCTGGATAGAGTGACAGATGCCTGTACTACCGCCCTTGGGAGACTAAGGTGGAGAATAAGCAGTCCAGAGCTAGGCCAGGCTGCGTACCAAGGCCCCACTTAAAAAAGAAGTTGCAGTGGAGTGGCTGGCGCCTGCACCTGGAGGCCAAGATGAGAGCCTGTCTGTGAGGTCAAGGGTGGCGGCTTAGGCTCCAAAGAGCTCCAGCCCAGCCTAGGCGGCAGTGTACAGCCTTGTCTTCAGCTGTTTTTTTTTTCCTGCCACATTTATTTTTATTTTTATATCATATTTTTTTTATATTATATCATCTTCTCCCCCTTTCCTCCCCCAAAGCCTCCCATGTACCCCTCTTGCTTTCTTATTTATAACTTCTTTTCTCATTAATTGTTGTTATATACATGTGTGCATATTTTTCCCCTTGAAATGATTGGAGGGCATCTTTATCATACTAAAAACATGGTAGACATGTATTGAATGTTGACTAGTCAATAAAGAACTGATGATATCTAAGAGCAATCTCAGCAATCTTGCTTAAATTCTAGGAAGTGTGGCAGGACAATAGTTATAGTCCTTGAAGGATTAATTACTGGGAGTTTTTCCATTAAGGCCCACGTGATCCCTTCAATTAGAAGATGCTGCCCTCAACTAAGTCAGACCCTTTGTCTCGTCAGTTCCCTTTTGTTCCCACTCTTATCCTTGTACACATAGCCCTTCTAATTGTTGGACCTCTGTTGAGACTTAGCTGAGCTATGCCCTCATTAGGTGACGTACATGAGGTTGTGTTGAGCATTGAATGCTTAGCACGAAGGCATCTTTGGTTAAGAAGCAGTGGGAACCGTGGTGAGGATGGTTTCTGTCTTCAGGCTTGATCATCGTGTACACTCTTTTTGTTGTCGCCTTCCTCTCTGAACTTCCCAGTTCTTTGACGTTCCTTACGATTACAGGCTTTTGTTTGTTTGCTTCGTTTTTTGTTTTGGAGTTTTTCAAGACAAGGTTTTCTCTGTAGTCCTGGCTGTCCTTGTAGACTAGGCTGGCCTCAAACTCACAGAGATCCACCTGCTTCTGCATCCCAAGTGATGGGATTAAAGACGTGCACCACCACCACCCAACTAAAATTATGATTAACCAAAATTCCATTAATTAAAACTTTGTATTCTGTCACTTCTCTCATCCTGAGAGAAGTGTTACAAATTCCATTTTGTAGGTTGGGTGTACCGCAGTTGCAGGATGCTTGCCTTGTTTTCACCAAGCCCTAGGACAGTCAATCGCACAGCACAAGACAGTGGAGGGGTTACCTTCGCTTGATTTGGCTGATGCATTACCACTTTGTTACCTTATTCTAATTATCTGTTGATTGGAATGTAATTCTTGGTTTAGTGAATTCTGAAAACATTTTGTCCTGCTTATCAAAAGATCACTTACATCAATATTGAAGTATCTAGTTGAGAGTCAGGATTTAAGCGTTTGGAGGCCTATTGTCTTTTTGAGGTTTATTTTATCCCAATTAGAATTCATGTTACTTTTAGCTCAAACAGTCTACATAAAAGCCAAAATAACTCTGTCCCCTGACTTTGGATAAGAAGTGCATAAATACTAAGTGGTGATAAGATATGGAAGTCTTTCCTCCTTGCAGTACTCTTTACTAGGTGCGTTTCTTTTCTGATGTTTATGAGTGAGTGCTTGTGACTTGTGAAAAAAATGCTCCTTACTGGATGGGAATGTCAGAAAAAAATGCCCGGAGGGAATATCAACAGTGAATTGAAAGGCTAAGGATGTAGCTCTATGATTGAATGCTCACCTGTTATGCACAAGGCCCTCATTTTAAGCAAGACCCTTAAAAAGTGGGTTTGAGGGTACAGCTCAGTGTTAGATTACTTATGTAGCGTGGTAAAGCCTCTGCCCTGACAAAAGACAAGCAAACAAAATAGCCTCAGAAGGGACCCTTGGAGAGACCCCCATGCCGCTTTTACCACTTTATATACCTTGTAGACAAATAAAAGTGTGTGTGTGTGTGTGTGTGTGTGTGTGTGTGTGTGTGTGTGTGTGTGTTTGTGTGTGATGTACTCAGGCAGTATCTGATGATTAACGGATGGAACTTTCAGGCGGATCATTGATCCTGTGTTTTGTCACATTTAGGACGAAGGTGATCAAACAGCGAGCGTCGAGGAGCTAGAAAAGCAGATTGAAAAGCTCAGCAAAGTAAGCGCGTTCCGCCATGTCTCCACTGTGGGGGCCGCGTCCCGAATCCCTGTTGTCTGGGGTTGCTCTTTCTCACTGCTAAGGAACAGCAAGCTTCTAGAAGCAATTAAACAGAAGAACTCTAGAAACCCTCAGTTAAACTTCACGAGCTGAATGCTAGGGTTAGAAGCCTCTGACGCATTGTTTTTAACCAAATCTATGCAGAAAGAGTTCTAGACTCCTCAGTTGTACCTTTAAATTAGCGTATCAGTAAAATATAATCTCTTGGAACTTATTACCCAAAAAATTTCTGAGTTCATAGTAGTAGTTTGAATATTCATATTTCATTTTACACTTGTGCATTTATTTATTATACTCACATTAGACTTATAACCTATATATACTTATTGTATTTATCATTAAAATTTATATTCTGCATTCAGTATCATTAGTAAAATTTAAGATGAGTCTTTTTTGTAATAAACATTAAGGTATTTTGTTAGATTATAATATAATTACAATATTTCTTCCTTCCCTTTCCTCTCTCCAAGCCCTCTCTTAGACCCATCCCTACTCTCCTTCAGATTCATGGCAGAAAAATTAGTTCTTAAGTACTGAGAGATGCCTGTATAATACTCTGTCAGTGTTCAGGCCCTAGCTGTAGGTCAGCATTTAGGCGTGCGGGGATAAGGAATCAAACGTGCTTAAAGCTAAGCAAACTATAGACAGAAGTATTGGCAATGTAATGAAATTAGCTAATTTGTTTTGGCTTAGTACTGTATTTGATGGCATATACAACCGTGTTTTTATGTGTTTAAGAAGATCCTGGTAAAATAAAACTTACTTTTAAGCCCTTGCTTGAATCCAGGATCTTTCTTACTATCCTCATTTGTTTTGAAATCACCCTTAAAGTTATTTTCTGTCATCAGTGTGACTGGAATTGTACTGGGTGTGTAACATTAGTCCTTTCGCTGTGCAGCATGATGACGCAGTAAACAGAGTATCTTGGGTAACTTTTAAGTCACTTTTGGCCGTGATGTAACTATATGGATGGCTTTTTTACAGCAACAGAGCCAGTACAGGCGAAAGCTCTTTGATGCTTCTCACTCACTACGCTCCATGATGTTTGGTCAGGATCGTTACCGACGCAGATACTGGATTCTTCCTCAGTGTGGAGGGATTTTTGTAGAAGGCATGGAAAGTGGTGAAGGTAAGAACTACTAATCTCCTAAGTGGGATATTG